GTGTGCAATAACTTTTAACAAAATTTATAAAAATAAAAATAAAAATCTGAGAGACGTGTAGGGAGTGGACCAATTTGTATAGTAATATAATTTCAAAATATGTTTCTAAGAAATCAAAGTCAACCGTAAAAGGTCGGCCTTGCAGCTAGCATCCCACGCGATATCTTCGACTCCACATTTTGAGTAAATGTTCTCTTCTGTAATATAGTATTAATTTCGATATAAATCCACATTTTTTAATGTTGAAAATATCTTAGATAATTTCATCAACAGTTTAATAGCACTATCCTAGTCGCAGCTAAAGCTAAATCAATTAAGACTGTTTTGCAAATATTAGAACAAATTTTAATTTATTTTACTAGTTGTAGTTTTGTACCAGCTTAATTCGAATAAAATAAAATAACATCTAAAACTGGTGTGCTCCTTTGACCAAAAAAAAAAACTGGTGTTCTCCACGTAATCACACTATGCAATGACATCGTATATCTCGACATAACTTTATCTTAGCGTCCCCTACATCAATTATATTACAGTATTATGAAATCGAGAAAGAAAATATTGTGATTTATTTTGAGAAGAAAATTCACCGATTCATCGCTCCTCTTCATATTAGGTACCTATTTCTAAAAGCTAATCACAATATGCTCTTACGTATGCATTAGATATTAATAATAATCGAAATAGTAACTCAAGAATTTCGTATATAAACATGCCAACCGATTTTTGTAATTGTATGTTTAAGACTCTATACGTGGTTTACCATTACCGGGTTAGATTTTTATTTTATTTTTCTCTTTTCCAAATTGCATTGCATTATTAAAAATATAAATATAACAAAAATCAGTATATCATAGTGTCTCAACTCAACCAACATAAAAGAAAAACCATTTACATACAAGTTACAAGTAGCTCAGCTCAAGAATCATTGAATTCGAGACCAAACCAGGAAACATTAAAGTCAAGCTAGAAAAATTGTACACGTAAAACATGTGTAAATAATATAGAGTTACTTACTTGTAATTTGTAAACTTTACAGAGAAAAAACGTGTTGAAATGAGTGGTCTAAACACAAATTTATGTTAAGATGGGTCGGGTCTCTCGTGAGACAATAATTTTGGAACTTAATATGATTTAACAGTAAGATGAGCCCTACACATAACTTTCTCCAGTCAAAGACAGAGCATCTCTATTTTACTTGTTTCCAGCTCTTTTCCATCACATTCTACCAGCATTCGAAGATGCTTTGATATTAACAGTATACATAATTCATACTATGCGTGACAATTATATATAGGAGTGATTTTATGCCCACAAATTCTAGAATTTCTTTGTGCCAAGACCGAAACTTAACATTTTTTTAGTCTTGTAGGATCTTGAATTTCGGTCGTAATCAATTGATATCAACCAACAATGAAATTTATAAAATGACAAAAAAAACTTGGTCCCACACGTCCCCAATTCCAAAGGAAACAAATTAAATCAAACTGTGTACGTATTTTTATGTATAATGAAAAGTTTGCATTAACGTGTAGTGATTTTCACGGAGTCATCATCAACAACTGGTTTGCTAATTAGCTGTTCTTGTAAAATTATACTCCACACTTTATTTTTTATTTTTTTCACTAGAAGATTTTTTTATTATACGAAAAGTGTTACAACGTCGAATACAAAGCCGGATAAACCGGAAGCAAATCCCAAAAGTGATATGGGAAACCAAAGCCCGAGAGTGATACGGGAAGCTAAAGCCCTAGAGTTTTAAGGGAAACTAAGCCGGCATGAACTACTCATCCGGAGCCATGAGATTACATACAAAACCTTAAACAAACCTTAAAACACTACCACCAAAAGAAGGAACATGAAGGCCCACACTCGCAATCACCAGAAAGTGCTGAAAGAGCGGTAGACGCGGAGCTACAAAGCTCACAAGCAGCCGAAGAGGCAAGGGGAAACTGCGAAGAAAAGAACCAAATACGACGATTAACAAGATCAAAGAACCACGAACGAGAATCTCAAATCCTATCCACCAAAACTTCAACCAAAAGAGTCTTAAATCTAGAACTTTGCATCCCCACAAGAGGTTAGCCTTACAAGAACTGACCAAAAAAGACCATAAGAAAACTGCTTAATCAACTAATCTAAAGGCGGAGGAAGGACGGTTTTTAAAGATTCACCGAAATAAAGGATGCTAATCGAAGAATACCCTAGCCAAACAAACGACTAAGCACACACAAACCAATGACCCACGAGAGTAATCCAAATTCCAAATCAGCGGTAGACCCAAAGTACTAGACAAACAACATAACAAACACTAATGAAACATATACAAAACCAAGAGAAGGGACTCGCAACAAGGGCTGGTCAAAAACCAGAGAGACACCAGAAGAGAAGAGGAGAGACGAAAGAGCAAAGACCAAAGATACCGGAGCTTCAGCACAGTAACAACGAAGAGGAGAAGTAGATCTAGGAATTGCTTTGAAGACCAAGCTCTCATGCCACTGGAAGTCCCGTAGCACATCATCATCTTCTAGATCCGCCCAAATCAACACCATCACACACAGATCCTGCTCTCCACGTGCCATCAAACTCTTCCACACCGGAAAACACTTCACACACCTAAAGAGACGAATCACCTCCACGATTTTATGCACTAAAAGAAAGGGACGGATCTGGGTCGACTTCGGTGCTTTGTAAGCCACCGGAGCCGAAACGCGGCGGCCAAACCTAAATCTGCTTTCTAGAGAGAAGTTAGAGCAAAGAAGAGGAATTATACTCCACACAAAGTACTAAAAAATATCACTTTTTTTTTTGTCAAAGTACTAAAAATATCACTTCCTTAAATTTAACATGGACGAATTATGAATAGAAGAAAATAAGAGAAGAAAAAAATCACGTGCGTCTCATGTGAACACATTAACTCTAAATATTTCCGACGTTTCCATAATCAAAACAAAAACAATTTAAAAAGACCAAATATATAACAGTCAAAAAGTTTGCAAAAGAAGGAAAAAAATAAATAAACGCAAACCTCCAAAAAAAAAAATTCCAAATATAAATATAATCCTTTTGCTCATTGCTCCTTCCGACAACACCAACATATAGTTTTCACAACCCAAAAAAATGGAGTTACTAACGACCGTCGCGAGCTTTTTCACTCCGACGGCTCTCTTCCTCCTTCTCAATCTTATGATCGGCACAATCGTCGTAACCTCTCGACTCGGGTCGGGTTCAAGAAAACATTACCAGCATCACGATGGGTTCTGGTCAGGTCATGCTCCGGCTCCGTTAGCTAGAGCTCCGTCGATTATCGACCGAGTCAAGTCCATCAATTTTCATCTCTACAAATTTCCTCATCCAGAAACTGAGCTTTTTTCGATGACGGCTCACCACGACGTAATCGGTTCGGATCTTCATGTATACCCTGATCCGAATCCGGCTCCGTTACAACGCGCTCCTTCTCTCTTGGATCGGGTCAAATCTATCAACATGTCTTATTTCAAGTTCCCACACGACGTAACCGGGTCGGATCCTCACTCACACTCTCACGTAGATCCACACCCGGATCCGGCTCCGGCACAGTTACAACGTGCTCCTTCTCTTCTGGATCGGGTCAAATCCATCGACATGTCATACTTCAAATTCCAGCAGTATAACCCGGAGGATAAAGACTATGCTATTCACAAAGAACCGACCCGTTTCGAAAATATTCCGACCCGGAAGGGTCGGGTTGACCCGATTGATATCTCAAAATTCAGGATCCCGGAGGAAGATCAACCGACTGGAACCGGAATCAATCATCCAATTGATCCACCCGGTTTAACTCGGGCTCCGTCTATCTTAGAACGGGTCAAATCCATTAAGCTATCATCCTTTTACAGATCCGACCCGGAATTGGATCAAAATCCGGATCCGGTTCTTCACGAAGAGCACAAGCACGTAAGGAGCAAATCGGAATCGAAAAAACCGGTGAAGAAAAAGAAGAAAGCTTCAACGAAGATGACGAAATCAGCGAGCGAGAAATCAGGTTTTGGTTTCACCGGAAGCCATGAGGAAGCAGCAGAGACTGTGGAATCCGTCGAACGGAGAAGACCAGATACAACAAGAGTCGAGAGATCAACATCGTTCGGCGACGGCGAAGATGGCGTCGACGCAAAAGCTTCAGATTTCATCAACAAATTCAAACAACAGTTGAAACTACAGAGACTCGATTCGATTCTGAGGTACAAGGAGATGCTCAAAGCCAATTGAATGATCAAAATTACTTAATTTCCCCAGCGGTGAAAAATATATTTCTCGCCGCCGTCTCCGTCGCGGTTTTGTTTGCCGCCGTTTTTCACAGAGGAGAGAGTACAGGAGTAGAGAATGTCTGAATTACCGATAGTGCCCCTGTATGTTGAGGATATTTAAGTAATTTATCAATTTGTTAATGTGAATTTATTATTGTCGGCTGCATTAGCGAAGTATGTGTGGCGTTAAAATTGGATCTGGGACGTTGTTTTGCGTCTGAATTATATATAATGTTACATTCATTCACTTGGCTATTTTTTCGAGATGTTTAGTACACGTTTCCTAGATTCTGCCCTATTTTCAGGTTGTTTTATTTTATCTTATTAAACTTTTCTAGACATAATATTTTAGGGTAAAATCATCTTCGTAATTTCTATTTTATTAATTTTTATACATATACAAATAATTATAAGTGAACTGACAGTTATTATAAATCAATTTATATCATTACATGTGATTGCAAAATGTCAACAAAGAATATTTTGCTGGACAAATAAATTGAAACTATTTTGATCATTTCCCCTTATAAATGATGTTAGGGGAGCTATAATTACTTGCTTTTTCTCTAAGCAAAAGCAACATGCATATCAATATCACTCTTCGCCGCACAATATCAAAAAAATATCTCTTGTAATGTTACTTTTATAAGGTTGAGCTTAAGAACACTAAATGATGCGTTTAATACACATGTATATATAGTCAATTACCGAACGTAATGTTCGCTGAATAGATTATTGAAACCCGATAAGATCAAATACTGTTTCAAGACTTCAATTTTGTGCAACTCAAGACTACAAAAAGCAACGTTTGAGTAGAAAAATTAAAACCAAAAACAAAACATTTGATATGGTCTAGTCATGACTTGAAATCACATTTTAACGTTATGGAAACAACGCAATGAAAAAAACGTCATCAATCAGTTCTATTTGTTTAATACTTATAAGTTACGTGTCAAAGTACTTGTTTTAGTAGTGATTTTTTTTCAGAAACAAGTACTTTGACAATATAATATATGGAATAGACTTTTGAATTGTTTCAACAAATCCAAATTTGTAAGATAAGGCGTCGTAATAATTAGGGTTTAGAATTTAAAGTGTTCCGAAACAAATCCATCCAACCATTCTTGGCCACGAAATTAAGACATGGAATCTTTTATGTTTTACTCGTGGCTCGAAAAAGACTTTTTCGGTCATCTCCTGATTAAATTAATCCTCACCATAATCATCACATTCATGATTCATCCATATCTCTTTAGGTTACGTTTTATTTCTCTGTTAACAAAACAGTGTCAAACTTTCAATTCAACTTCGATTTCTTCTCCCACTTTCTTAAAGTACTTATATTTCCCCTCTAACCGAATACTCCATCTGTTCCTAGAAGATTGATGTTTTAGAGTTTTCACATATATTAAGAAACAATCATTGTTTAATTATTTGTCAATTACTTTTTTATACTAAATATTTTTTTATAACTTTGAACCAATAGTATTAGAAAACAGTTAATCATTACGTCTTGAAGTTTACGATATATTAATTTTAATCAATTAAAAATAAAACAAAAATCTAAAAAATCAAACTTTGTGGAACAAACTAAAACTGTAGAACATCAAATAACTAGGAACAAAGGGAGTACTTAAAAGTTAAAACTAATAAGTCTTTTCTTCTTGATGCTTCCAAAAACAGTTTTTTTTTAAAATAAAAATAAAATAGAATTCTCTTATAAAGTTTACAAATACTTTAGCAACAAAAATTAATATATTCTTCCATTGTTATTGCTACTACTATCATTTAACGTTAATTCATCGTTATTTTCCTTAATTCATTTTAAAGTTTCAACTTGGATGACAAAAATGAAAAATATATGTTATTATAAATAAGGTATACAGTTAAACACAATATCAATGTCTGGGTGGTGTAGTCGGTTATCACGCTAGTCTCACACACTAGAGGTCCCCGGTTCGAACCCGGGCTCAGACATTACAATTTTTTTAATCCACTATATTTTTCTATAATCATAAGTCATATCTATTTAACGTAACGGGCCGATAATAGAAGGCCCAATTATAATATAGAGAGTTAGAGAAAACTAGGATAGCCCATTTTACTCTAAGTTGGTTTTTTTATGGTAGAGGACAGAAAAAGGATCGATTGGGGACAAACTGTACCAGGATAAAACCAAAAACCGGTACGAAAATGTCGGGACATCCGGTTACGTCATATTCCCGGTTCTCGATGTTTGTTAGATTTTGTGGGCCTACACATTGGAAAGCTGAGAAGATAATATTTGATCGGACATTCATAGGCCGGATTTACACGTACACTCTCCCACTTGACGACTTTAGAGATCTCTTAAAAGATAATACGTCACCGTATCAATGCATCTATCACGAAATTTCTTGTTTGACAAAACAAAAGTAATAAACCAAATCAAAGAACAAAAATGTTCAAATTTAAGTTCAACTATATAATTGATACATGTGTGAAAAAGTGAACTTAGCCAATAAGGTCAGTTTTTAATTTGAATATTTATTTTATAGTATTTCTAGAACCATATGTTTTGATTGATGGCAATGGCATATGTCTCTCAAACGACGATAAAACCAAAAATAATAATTAACCGACTGAACTTATCAAAGTTAAAATTATAATTTTTCCAAATTTCAAGATTAGACATTTCATTGTTTTTTACGATAAGATCTTAGTTTGTGAGAAAGTTTATCGTCCAAAATCAATCATGCACGTCCGTCAAAAGAAATTAGAAAACAAAAAAGATAGGAGAGATCGAAAGATATGAATAATCATAATGGCAGAGAATCCAAGTGATTTTTTTTTGTTTCATAGAAAAGAGCTGTGAGGAAATTTCCAAGATCTTGGACCCACCTTCAAGATTCCTTTATAACCATTTTCTTCTAAATCTTACCTGTTTTATCTCTAAGACACTTTGATTTGGTCGAAGATCGAGTTGATCTTGTCGTAGGATCCTGCTAATGTCCAATTAATGTCACATTCTCTTCCGACAGATTTCACTATCGTATAAAGCATGTCCTACGTGTCTCCGTATTTATCATGTCCATGAGTGTTTAATTGTATCCGTATACAAAGACATATATGTCATTTGTTGTATGTGTAATGTGTCATGTATGTATTTTCGTGGATGTACGCGATACATTTCAGATTCAGACACCCCATGTTATATATGTAATTGTTAAGCATTGTTTATTCGTTGACTGGGATATGAAACAATACTTTTCTGTGAGAATTATCTTTAGAGTCAATGGTTTTTGTTCGATATTATTTGGTTTCTTGTTAATCGAGAGATGTATGTAATGATTTAGAATCAATAGCTTAGCCAAGTTAACCATAATTTTTCAGGGCTTTGAAATCAGACATCACGCTATCCGAAACAGTATCAACATTATGCTTGAGATATTGATGATTTAGAGTACTATATACTAGTACACAATCTTAAGCCATCGCTACTTTTCCAACAAAGACTAACCACACCCATTATATTCGACCAACCATTTCACTAACCACACAATAATTATTTATCTTCAGTTTTATGAAATCACATCCAAAGCCTATACAACATAAAATATGTGCGAACAACCATTTTATGTTTATAATTTTAAAACGAAATATAGAAATCTGAATATTATCTGTTGCCTTATATAAAAATATAAGTTATTAGATATCTGGACTTTTAGATGGAT